CTTTTGCACCATTTTCAGAAGCAGAGGTCCTAAAGCTTTTAACATCAGCAAGACCAACATTTTGTATGTTGGATCCAGCACCAACACGATTTGTTCTTGAGTTCATTGATGTTTTGCTTCCAGTGATCACACGGATAATAAACAGCAGTTTATCTTCCGGATGTGTCCCCAAGTGTCTGAAGGTCGCTGTTGTTAAGCCACTCCTGAAAAAAGCCTGGCTTAGACGCTGACACACTATCGAACTATAGGCCTGTCTCTAATTTATCCTTCATATCAAAATTGCTTGAGAAGGCAATCAAGGTACGCCTTGTTGATCACTTGACCTTGAATGATCTCTATGACGTGCATCAGTCTGCATATCGCTCCGATCATTCCACAGAGACCGTACTTCTGCATGTGATGGAGAGACTTCTTGCTGCAGCTGATGCGGGCTATGTTACAGTTCTAACGCTGCTTGATTTATCAGCGGCTTTTGATACCATTGACCATGTTCAACTAACTGAGTGTCTGAAAACAGAATTTGGTATTCATGGCACAGCTCTTGGATGGTTTGTCTCATACCTCAATAATAGGACACAATCTGTGGTCATTCAAGACGTGAAATCGTGTACGCATCAGCTTACATACGGAGTGCCACAAGGTTCCGTTCTTGGGCCCATTCTCTTTTCACTCTATATGAAGAATCTCGGCAATATCATTCGGCATCATGTTGTGATGTACGAGTCATATGCTGATGACACCCAGCTGTTGCGTTCCACTAAACCGGACTCACTTCCAGCCGATATGTCTATAATCGAAGACTGTATCCTTGACTCCAAAGCATGGATGATACAAAGGAAGCTGAGATTAAATGACAGTAAGACCGAGGTTTTGCTGTGTGGATCACCCAGTAGCACTGCTAAGGTGGATGTGTCTTCGTTGGTAGTGGGTAATGAGAAAGTTCCTTTCAGTGATTCCGTGAAAGACCTTGGTGTTTTCTAGACTCAAATTTATCCATGGAAACACACGTAAACTCTGTTTGTAAGTCATGCTATTTTCATCTCAGAAATATTGCTTCCATTCGTGATATTCTGACATTTGATGCAGCTCACCACCTAGTTCGTTCACTTGTTCTCTCACGTTTGGATTATTGCTGCAGTCTTCTTGTAAATATCCGCCAAGATCTATTGTCCAAGCTCCAGAGGATTCAGAACTCTGCGGCGCGATTGATTTGCCGAGTCAACAAGCGCAGTCACATTACACCATTGCTGATACGCTTACATTGGCTGCCCACGAAACAGAGAATAGAATATAAAATCCTCACTCTCGCTTTCAAGTGCCTCCATGACAAAGCTCCAATCTATCTGAAAGATCTCCTCAGTGAATATGTCCCACCACGGCTTTTAAGATCAAGTTCTAATTGTCAGTTGAATGTCCCCAAGGTCAGATTAAAGTCATATGGACATAGACAGTTCTCTTACACAGCTCCCCTTTTCTGGAACTCACTGCCTCTTCACATCCGACAAGCCGCCAGTATTTTGTCTGTCACCTTGTTTAGTATCAAGATAAACAGTTTATCCAACGGTTTAAACGATTCAATTGATGGATCACTTTTGGTGGATGATTTTAATATTTCTTGTCGTGGTAAAAATATGCATACTATTGAACGGCAATTGCAGTTGTGTTTAAATAAAATAAATAAATGGTGTCTTGAAAACGGCTTTAAATTTTCCAAGTCCAAAACTAATTGTCTACACTTTTGTAGAAAATATAAGCCGCATAAAGATCCAGAATTATCTTTAAATGGCACTCCCATCAAAGTTGTTAAGGAGGCCAAATTCTTAGGTCTAATTTTCGACTCCCATTTAACCTTTTTGCCGCATATTAAATCACTTAAAGCCAAATGCCTGAAGGCACTCGATTTGTTGAAAGTTGTTTCTAACTCAAAGTGGGGAGGGGATCAAACTACCCTCCTTCACTTATACCGATCATTGGTACGATCTAAACTTGATTATGGTTCGATCGTATATGGCGGAGCCTGTAACAGCAACCTTAAACTACTTGATTCTGTTCACCACCAAGGTCTAAGACTCTGTCTTGGATCATTTAGAACTTCTCCAGTTGATAGTCTATATGTTGAAGCAGATGAGCCTTCTCTTACACAACGTCGTATAAAATTGTCTTTACAATACATTACTAAACTATATTCTAGCGAATCTAACCCTGCATTTAGCTGTGTTTTCAATCCCCTCTATGAGGATTTATACAACAAAAAACCTTCTCTTGTTCCGCCTCTTGGGCACAGAATTAAGCCATTCCTGTCTGCTGCCGGCATTGAGCTGGAAAATATAGCTCCTTCCCGTCTTCTTTCTTCTCCTCCTTGGCAATTGGTTAGGCCACAAGTCGACCTAACACTCACTAAATTTAAAAAATCAGAAACTAATGACTTATTATATAAACAAGAATATAATCAATTAAAAAGTAAATATAATACATATAAATCCTTATTCACAGATGGGTCCAAGGATGGTGGCGCGGTTGCTTGTGCCACTGTCATTGGGTCCAAAACAATCTCTTCCAGATTACCCAATGACAGTTCAATTTTCACAGCAGAAGCAAACGCAATACTAACAGCTCTTAAATATATCAATAAACACCGTAAATATAAACAATATATCATCTTTTCAGATTCTCTTTCGTGTCTTCAGGCTATTAAAAATCTTTCTTGCAAACATCCACTTTTATTAGAAATTATTGAATTGTACAATGAACTTGCTACTGGCCAATGCGACATCGTCTTTTGTTGGTTACCCAGCCACGTTGGCATTTCTGGGAACACAATGGCTGATATTGCTGCAAAGGCAGCACTCAACAAAATCTGTGACACCACTTCTGATCCCATACTCTGATTACAAAGCTGCTATAAGATCTTATATCCGTGATCTGATGCAAAAGAAGTGGGACGCCCAGGTAGGTATCAATAAATTACATGCAATAAAACCCTACATTGGTTACACCTACTTTGGTTGTCAGTCCAGATTTGAAGAGGTCATCATACGACGATGTCGTATTGGCCATACAAGGTATACTCATGAGTACCTATTGAAAGGTGAAGATCCTCCGTTTTGTATCCCTTGTGATGAGAGAATCACAGTCAAGCATGTCCTGCTTGACTGTATTGAATATTCCATCACAAGGGATAACTATTTCAAATCACGAACGATGAAGGATCTTTTTAATAATATCAGTTCTCATTTAGTTATTGCATTTTTAAAAGAATTAGATTTGTTGAATGAATTGTAAATAGATAAATATTTTAAAATTGGTAGTTTAGTTGAGCAGCTGAGATTGTTAGTGGCTGTATCCTCACAGGGGGTTGAAGCATTGTAAAATTATTGTCCTCCTGTGGGGGTACGTAAGTCCCAAATCATTCCAAGCTAAATTTAAACTTACCATTAGTTTTAATCGTAGAATCTGTGTTATTTTAACTTATGGCTAATTTGTCTAAACTTGCTGACGGCTGAAGGGATGGTGTAAATCCAGCTAGGGTCCATGCAGGAAGCAAATGTACTGTAAGTCCCCATGGTCCCTAGTATGGTGATCTACCTTCAGTAGTTAGCAATCTACAGCCTGTTTTTATATTGTATTGTCTTGTCCTTTCTAGTTCCAATATTTTAGATTTAATTGCTAGTTTTAAATGGATATCTGTGATACACTAGTAGTTTTACTGTTCTTCGTCAACAGGTTTTTTAATTTCTAACTTTATTCATCTTTAATATAATTATAAAATGTTCTCGTCACGATATGGCTGAAATATTGCCGATGTGACGATAAATATTAACTCACTCACTCACTCACTTTGCCATATGTATTTTATGTGAGACTTGAAATGGAATAAAACATTTTTAAAAAAACAAACAAACAAAACAACACGTGAAATCACTTACATTAATGTTGTTTTTTATAATGGTCAATTATATAATAATTATGAGAATAAATGTATACACATATATATTTGATACATAAGTGATTCTAATAACTATATAGAAATATGTATATATATATTAGTGGAAATAATAGATTAATAGAAATAATATACTCTGGTCATAATAGATTCTAAGTGACGTTATAATTAGCTAATATAATTCAAACACAAAATCTTGTTACATCACAGATGGAACAGCAGTTTTAAAAGTTATTTTATTACAGCACTGATTGAGGATAACCATAAAACAGTAATTGTTAATCCACCTGCCAAATTCAAGAGCGCAGTTTGGAAATACTTTGGATTTCGGAAAATTGAAGGAAGGACTTTCGGAAAATTGAAGGAAGGACTTTGGAAAATGAGACTATCTGCCGTATTGTGAACACACAATCAAGTATGTATAAAGTTTGTAAACTGCTATATAATGAGAATTTAAAATTTTGACACGTAACTAAGAAGATACTGATCTAACTTGGCGAATGACTGTAGAATATTATGTCAAAAATACATACTTGCAGTAACTAGATGTGGAGGTATCGAATATTAATTTTATGTATTTTTCATTAGTAGAAAGCTGTATACTTGAATGCATAATTGTGTTATAAATATATTCAATATATATTTAAAATGTTTCTCAGAGCAAAATATGACACATTCTTCAGCAATTCAACAACTGCTTGTAGGGAATATGTTTAATTCAATGAGGACACTTTGAAAAAAATCAGTATGTTTTTTTCAGCTATACCTGCAAGAACACATCAAATATGGCAATACATCTTAGAAGGAAACATGCCATAGAAACTAGTAACCAGGGAGACAAAACGTCTTTGTCAAGCACCATGAATTTGGTATATGTAAATGGATCTGTAAATACAACTTCCATGGGCCAGCTTAGCATACAAAGCGCCTTTCAAACAAAACTAGCACCTGGCAGTTCAAGGGCTCAACTCATCACCCGCAATCTTGCGTTGTATATAGCGTTGTATATGTATTGAGGCCTTATTCCATTGTTGAAAGTCAAGGATTCAAGAAACCGATGAACTGTCTTGAACCAAAATATACCTTGCCATCACGAGCCACACTCAGCAGAAAAGTTATTCCTGATCTCTATGAGAAAGTAAAAGAAGTGAAGGCAGGTCTCAAGGCATCTCACTCAGTCGCACTCACCACTGATGGCTGGACGTCACGGGCAACCCAGAGCTACATCACCATCACAGCTCATTTCATAGATGAAGAGTGGGAGCTTAAAAACAAAGTTCTTCAAACACGACAAATGTTTGACTCACACACAGGTGTTAACATTGCTGATGTCTTGAAACAAGCCATAGATGACTGGGAGTTGAAACGTCCACATGGACAGCAGCCTATTACATCAGACAGCGCAGCAAATGTATGCCTTGCAGTCGACATTGCAGAGATGACACCCCATATCCGATGCTTTGCACATATCATCAATCTTGCAGCCCAACAAGCTCTTCATATAAATGAAGTTCAATGTCTTCTTGGAAGAGTCAGGAGAATTGTTACTTTCTTTCATAAGAGCAGCACAGCAAATTACCAGTTGGAGCTGAAACAAAAGCTACTTCAACTTCCTAACCATCTTCTCATCAACAAAGTGAAAACAAGATGGAACAGCGCCTATGACATGATTGAACGATACTTGGAGCAGCAGCCAGCTGTGATGGCAGCACTTATGTCACCAAATATTAAAAGGGAAAAGGACCTGGACACACTGAGCTCAGATGACATCACTCTTGCTGAACATTTCATCAAAGTCCTGGGCCCGCTGAAAACAATCACTACCATTCTCTGTGAATCAAACATACCAACTCTATCAATGGTGAGGCCACTTCTTCAGAACCTATCACAAGCTATGGCCCCAAATGTTGAGGATGTTAAACCTGTCTCTCAGATGAAAGCTGCTATTCTGAACAGTCTTGCAAAAAGGTACACAGATGTGGAGATAAAAAAAGTACTGCTACAAGCATCGTTTGTTATCCCAGGTTCAAAGCTCTGCCCTTCCTCAGCCAACAAGAGAAGCTGGAGGTCCAAGAATCTCTTTGTGACTTGGCTGAAGCAATGAATGACAGCTCCCTTGAGGTAACACCTGAAATCTTAAATAATAGAAAAACATAACATTGGTCCATTTAAAACGAAAATAATATATTGCTTTTGTGTCTCCTGTTACAGTTACCAAAACAAACCAATGGGTTGCTGATTAGATGTGTACTGTATATGACCTGTTTCCTGTTTCAGTATTGTATCGTTAAATCTGAACCATGTTCAGGTCCAGATGCTCGGAGAGATCCACCACTACCAGATGTACCAGTACAGGTGCCCACAGCTGTGAAGGAGGAAGTAGTCAACCCACCTAAGAAGACGGCATTGTCTTCATTATTTGGTGATGTCTTTGTTGTTTCTCATGTACCTGCCACACTGACCAAGAAGGAGATGATACATAATGAACTAAAAGACTACACTGGAGAAGAATGTGCAGATGTGAACACCAATCCACTCAAGTGGTGGCATGTGCATGACCATAAATATCCAACATTTTGTTCTGTGGAAGGCGTATTACAGTCACGTCATTTGTCCCAGTAGAGTACAGCAGTTCCAAGAAGGATAACTCTAGTGGAATCCGAGTCAATGTGTCAAGTCTCTGCATCGGACACTGGAACAAACCTCTCGGATTGATTAGGAATACATGGATCAAACATTCATCTTGAAGATCATTTAGCACTGATTCCGGTAAGAAAGAAACTGTTTTCGTGTTCGATGCCATGGACGCCGTGGCAGACTCACTTGTCACACTTTCAGGTAACACCTTTAGTCGGTATCTTGCTGATTCAGTTTTAACAACAAACAGGTTGTAGAAATTCAAGGCCTGTAAAATTCTTATCACTCTTCCCATTAGATCACCGTCAACTTTAACTAGGTCATTGACATTGATCGGTTTAGACTAATGGCGGCAATGTTTGTTTACAAACAATGCAAACGATTGTTTCTTGGGATTTTTTAAGGTTATTTATTATAAAACGACTACCATTTATATAATGCAATTTTATTGCAAAATAATAATGTCTAATAAGAAAAGTATTCATATTCTTTAACCTTTATGGTTTCATTTTTAAATCTCGGAATGTGTGAGTACAGCACGTTCTAATTATCAATGAAAGGGTAAAAGTTGTCAATGAACTTGGATCATGAAAAGTAGTTCCGTCAACCAATCATATTTCTTCTCTGCTTAGCTGACCAATCAACGTTGAGAATCACTACAAAGCACATGTGCGATTATCACTAAAATAATCACCTGTGTACCCTAGCCCTTATGGGTAATAATGCAGCATAATATACAGTAAAATGCATACACCTTATCTAGGTCTATAACCTTCGCAGCTGCCGAGAGACGGTCATTTGATGAATATCAACGTCTTAGAATATATATGTTTTACCCCCATTGTTGCACAAATCAGTTTCAAGCAATACGAAGTGTTCTTCCAGAAGGAGTGTTATATATGTATAAGATAAAATTCCATTCACCTTTTGAGGTGATCGTCCCAGTTTCGTTCTTATTGATGTCACTCAGTTGCTGTACTTCTGTTTCCAAGAGAAGGACCACTTAGAGGTAACCTCGCACATGCACGGTTCACATAAGGCCATCTATGGATGCAACTATGACAGTTCCTACATCTCATACTTGAGTGTTAGAGGCACTGCTCCTTGGGAACACTCACCCAGATTCAGCTGGAAGTGCTCAGGGTGGGTGGGCTTGAAGGGGCGTATGACGCGCACATATACGCTATTCATGAATCGGGCATCATATGTATGTAAGATAAGACTGTATTTGAGGTAGACTCAACTGGCGATGTTGCTGCTCATGGTGGAGGGCTTGAAAGGACGGATAACTCGCACATACTCGTCATCCTTGTATATGACATCGTGAAGATCCGGATTAGAATTGTTGGTCTTCAGCAACCCAGTCGTTCTGAAGGTAGATGTTCAGGAAGTCAATCACTGTATTGTCTGACCCAGAGTTAGTGAGTTAAAATTTGAAGTCACATCGGCAATATTTCAGCCATATCGCGACTACCAAAGCTTTGTATTAATAAAAAACGAACTTAAACGATATATATGAATCATTCTTAAAATTTGTGCATGTAGGCAATAATTGAAAATTTTGTTTGCTTGCTTTACCTTCTAATGTTGTTGATTACGTTTGTAGTATTCAGAATATACAATACATAAATTATACAAGCTTAACGACATTTCATGTATCATATTTTAGCCTATTAATAAAAACATTCATGAAATTGCGTCACTACCGTTACGAAATTTGTAACGTCATAGTGAAACGAAAAAAATCCAAAGCTGAATCACTTAAGTACATATATGTTAAACTATATAGTTTTACAATTATATAACATGGCTAATGAGTTTTGAAATTGTATATTTATTGCTTAAAATGGGCACACAAGCCAAAAACTTCCTTTCATTTTTGATGTGCAAATATAAAGTAATATGTAGCAAAAAAATCAAAATAAGAATATGAATTATATTATGCTTACTTGAAGCTAAACTAACAAACAGACTTGCACTAAAATTCCAGATATAAACAGATAAATCAATTTTAACTAAATGATAATGTTATTGCATTGACTGTGGCATGGACATTGGCAATAATTGTCACCGTAGTGACACAATAACGGTTGTGACATTGTTAATAATAGTCAGTTTTGTTAACTTTAAAAACTGATTTAATGAAATTTGTCAGTCAGAAATTTCAGAATTTTTGAAGAATGTGTAATAGGCAAAAGATTTACTTAGATCTCCCCGTCATGTAATAAACAGGTAAAGACTGCATGTTACAGTAGTGACATTTTATCAGCAGTGATCTCCGACAATTATATCTTTTTGCATTTTATGGTTGCTGCTTAACCTCATATGTGTTTTAGGTAAAATATTACAACAAAACAACTGTTTGAAAAAAAATTATTCCCTGGATAGAAAGTACATGTCATTATATTCCTTTGTCCACATGGATTAAATTGATGCTGCATATCATCCTTAAACATGATATGGCTGAAATATTGCCGATGTGACGTTAAATAATAACTCACTCACTCACTCCTTAAACATGAAACTGTAAATCTGAAACACTGTGTGTGAAACCTTGAACAAATAGTTTCATACTAAGCTTGAATGAAAATACAAGATCCACTCACGCTAGATATCAAACGTACACATGAAACTACATTTATTTTGTCCCAGTTGCTTGATAGTACTCTTTCAATAGTAATTAAGCATGCTATAGTTCAGGCATGTTTACTGTTACTTTGCAAGGCATAACCTGTGTCTGGTATCTGTTTTCGTAAGTTCTTAATTTGTTCAAGTTGGGCAAGAAACACATTCCAGTTTTCATTCGGCACAGAGAATTCGAAATGGCGTTGACTATCCCCTGATGACAATTTTGGAAACAAACCAAGTTCATATCCATTACCAACATCTTTCATTCTGCGTCAAAAGAAAATTTATATACAAACAATTTTAAACTAGAAAATTGTCACTGCCGTCACAAAATCTGTCCTTACAAAAAACAAACATACTTTATATATTGCCTATAATTAAGTATATCATTAGAATGGTTTTCTTCATTTGATACAAAACGTTCATGTGAAATAAGATTACAAAACATTTGATATCCCTGAATTGAACATTTAAATACAAACAACATTAAACATGAGTTTTGTGCAGTGGTTTTTGAGGAGAAGTGGATAAAGTACACCCCCTGATGTATGGGACGAACTGGATGAATAGAACCAATTCAAGTTCAAACATCTGTAGAAGTGACAAAATTAAGAAACTGGATGAACAAGGTATGAGACGCACACCTTTCTAGTCCCAATGAAACACACAATGAAGGCCAATTCTGTTGAGCAGCTTTTGTGAAGAAGTTGATAGACTTCATCCCCTATAACACTATATTCAGAGAGAAATTCAACAAAATTTATGCAAGTTTAAACGGCATTAAAATTGGAAAAATAAATAAATACAAAATCAAAATATGAGATGCACACCTTTAGAGTCCCTATAAAGCACATGTGTAATCTAAAAGAATTCCATAAAGTAGTTTTTGAGGAGAAGTGGATAACATACACCCCCCCTGTTGTATGGGACGAACTGGATGAATAGAACCAAATTCAACAAAGTTCAAACATCTGTAGAAGTGGCAAAATTAAGAAATTGGATGAACAAGGTATGAGATGCACACCTTTAGAGTTCCAATGAAACACACGTAGAAGCTCAATCAATTCTGTTGAGCAGCTTTTGTGGAGAAGTGGATAGACTTCACCCCCTACAACACTATATTCAGAGAGAAATTCAACAAAATTTATCTAAGTTCAACCGGCATTAAAATTGGAAAAATAAATAAAATACAAAATCAAAATATGAGATGTACGCCTTTAGAGTCCCTATAAAGCACATGTGTAATCTAAATGAATTCCATAAAGTAATTTTTGAGGAGAAGTGGATAACGTACACCCCCTGTTGGATGGAACGAACACTGGCTGAATAGAACAAAATTCAACTAAGTTCAAACATCTGTAAAAGTGCCAAACTAAGAAATTGCATAACACATTATGAAATGCACACCTTTAGAGTCCCTACGAAAGACATGTAGAAGTTCATTCAATTCTGTTGAGCAGTTTTTGTGGAGAAGTGGATAGACTTTATCCCCTATTACACTATCATCATAGAGAAATTCAGAAAAATGTACCTAAGTTCAAATGTCTCTAAACTTATAACAACAACAACAACAACAACAAAAATATGAGATGCACACCATTAGAGTCCCAAGAAAGCCCATGTATAAGTTCATTGAATTCCACAGAGCGGTTATGGTGGAGAAGTGGATAGAATACATTCCCTGTTTCGTACGGACGGACGGACACCGAGGGTAACCCTATATGGCGGGGGCATAAAAAAGGGCAAAAGATGGTCAACAACTGAAGGCAGATCATTATACTAGGGACCATGGGGACGTACAGTACTTTTGCTACCTGCATGGATCAAGCTGGATTTACACCATCCCTTCATATGATAGCGATTGTTCACAACTCCAGCCAGAAATTAAAGAAAGTTGTATTTCTAAATCTTATTTTAAGGTTTCGGGACTTACCCTCTCAGGAGGACCATGATTGTACAATACTTTAACCTCTTTGAGGCTACAGCCACTAACGATATCAGTTATGAATTTATGCTACAAATTTTAATATTACACACGTCTTTCTACAAATGATATCAAAAAATTTCAAACAACTCAACAAACAAACAACAACAATCAATAATTAAATGAAAATTAACATTAGTAAAAAGATCCTTAACAGTTTTTTACATTGAAATGATTATAACTTGTGATGGAAAAATCAACACAGTGAAGCAGGACATGCTTCTTTGTGATTCTTCCATCACTAAGGATACAGAACGGAGGATCCTCACCGTTTAACAGGTATTTACGCCTATATCGGAAATGGCCAATCCAGCATCGTCTTAAAATGGCGTCTTCAAATCTGGACTGACAACCCAAGTAGGTGTAACCAATATAGGGTTTTATTGGGTGTCCCACTTCTGCAACCCGTGAAGATCAGGGTTAGAATTGATCTTCAGTAACCCATGCTTGTCATAAGAGGCGACTAACGAGATCGGATGGTCAGACTCGCTGACGTGGTTGCACATGTCATCGTATCCCAATTGTGTAGATTAATACGCATGCTGTTGATCACTGGATTGTCTGGTCTACACTCGATTATTTACAGACCGCCGCCATACAGCTGGAATATTGCTGAGTGTGGCATAAAACTAAACTCACTCACTCACTGACTGATCGTGTGAAGGTCCAGTCTACGCCATTCCTCGTGTCAAGCAGCTTACAGTTGGGCCACGTTCTGTACAGGAGGATCCCTTTGTTGCACACAACGACCAATCATGTCCCAGATATGCTCCAAAGGGTTAAGATCGGGGCTCATGCAATCGTGAGATATGTCAGGGAGCCAATATATGAAATTAAATTAAACTCACTCACTCTTCACATAGGTGCCGTCAGTTTGTGAATGAATGAATGAATTTATTTCCTCCGGAGCGCGGCGTTAAACAACAAACAAACCAAACTAATTCAGACTAAAAAATAATACAATATTGAATATATTTTTTGCATCTGGTTTAATTTGTCGTCACACAGGCACGTTTGAGAACATCTTCCAGCTGTCAGCAAAGTCCGCATCTTCTGGGGCAGTAGGCGCTGACCATGGGGTAATAATCACACCATTCCGGCAGTACCGTGCTGCACCGTCTCATGTCCTCTCGGCATTTTTCTGTGAAATATAAGTGGTGGTGGTGGTTCAATTGGGTTTAACGTCGTGCTTAAGAATATGTCGCTCATATGACGACGTGCATGCGTGTGCGTGTGTATGTGTATGTGCGGATGCTTGTACTAGCCCAGACTGAAGCTGGTTTTATAGTGCTAGCCCACTGAGATACCATGCCGCAGTGAATCATGAATACCCTACTCAGACACATTATACTGACTCCGAGTCGACCAGTCCCTGTTGTACCCATTAATGCCGAGCGCCAGGCAGGGACCAACAAGTACCATATTTAAACGTCTTTTTGGTATGACGCGGTCGGGGGTCGAACCCGCGACCTTCGAACCCTCTCTCCCTTGCGGACGCTCTGACCACTACACCACGGAGGCGGTGTGAAATATAAGTAGTGATCCTTGTAAAAAGTATTACTGATATGCTAATAAACTACTTTAACTAAAGTATTCAGTTAATCTTCAAGGGTCAATGCGTCAGGAATATATAAAACTAATGGTATGTTTTTGTTTTCATGTAGTGAGTTAAGTATTGTTACTGTTTGATGGATGAGTTCTTATTTTGTTTTCAACATACTTTTGACTGCACGTAACACCTTCCCATGTGTCGGTGCACGTGCAGGAGCAGGTGTTTCCATCCAGCGTTCCTCCGTTGAGGCACACGATGCCTGTACAATCTGAAAATATATTCGACTTAATGTATTTGCGTGTTTGGAAACCAGAGTCCGTGAGTCCGAGTGCATTTTTAACATAATAGTGCAATCAAATACATTAAAGGCACACTTTCTTAAATCAAACGTAAAATGGTTTGAAAGAAGCTAATAAAATCGTACCAAGGTATCTAAGCTTTTGTCTGTTTTCCACCAAAGTTTAATAAATGGAATACATATCTATCAATATGAAGGTATTGGTCCTTAGAATGGCACTTAGGAGTTTGAGGCCATTATGGAACTATTCCTACAATACAAATCAAAACCTCCATGTTCTAGTGGATAATGTGACTGCCTGGAAAAGTAGAAGGTCGTTGGTTCAACAGTAATCAACAGCATGAGCATCAATCTACGCAATTAGCGGGTTCAAACAAACATCTCAGTATAAACTGTGTGGGTTATCCATTTAAACTGTGTCATGGTTCTTAAAGGCACAATGTCACACATTTTCCACAATATTTTGGTCTATATTTATTTGGGGCATATGCACTCACTTTAGCTTCCTATTGATGCAATAAAACACTTATTATCCCTTACGACTTGCCTGAAGTCAATAATTGAAACTTCGAGGCGAACAGCTTCCAAACAGATAACACTTGCCATATATGGAATGTAAACGATTGCTCCGTACATCGAAAACTGTCTCAGGCGGTGTTGTCGGTGTTTGCCGAACTTATTTTAATCACAAGTGAGGTTATATGATATTCGTAAAGAGCGCTTTAAGGGACATAACTCTATGGGGTTAGATTGAAATAATGTTCGGCCGGTAAATCGAGAGTCGATTTAATACAACGTTGCATTAATTTATTCAAACTTTTTAATTTAATATTGTAATCTAAATACGTATTTTTTTTAAATATAAATAATATGATAGCTTCCCTGAGGGCTGTTAGTTAGTGTTATTGAGAGAAATGCATTATGTATTTTAGAGAAATGTGATATTGAATATCTAAAAGAAATAGAATTGACTGACAAATTTTGATTAAGATGTTTTGTAAAAAGATACACTTTTATGATTGGTTTAGATTAGTAACTGAGATTTTTAGTGGCTGTATCCTCAAAGGGGGTTAAAGTACTGTAAAATTATTGTCCTCCTGAGAAGATACGTAAGTCCCAAAACGTCCAAGGTAAATTTAAACCTACCACATTATTAAATTGTAGGATATATGTCATTTTAAATTATTGCTAAATTTGTCTACAATCGCTAACATTGTATTGATGTGTATGGTGTAAATCCAGCTAGGATTTCCTAGATGGTTCCTAGTATGGTGATCTACCTTCAGTTGTTGGCGATCTATAGCCCATTTTTATACTGTATTGTCCAAATTTGATATCCAATTTTAAAGAGAGATGTTAGTTTTAATTCTTGATACAGTGATATTCTATTTGGTTTCCTGTCCTTCGTGTACAGGTTTTTATAATTTATTTGCGTTTTTTATGAATGTATAACTTTGAAAAGCACGATATGGCTGAAATATTGCAAATGTGACTATAAAGTTTAACTCACTCACTCACTCAGAGTGGTGTGACATTGTGCCTTTAACTATGGCTGGTATATAAAACAGTATGACAAATGTGGATAATATGGCGCAAGTATAAGAACATATCAAGTGGTATTTAGTAGGGGTGACTATTGAGGGTAAAACAACTATTGCGATAGCGATTGGCTATTGCAACATCTATTGCGATACCTATAGTCTATTACGACCAACTATTGAAATAGTTGTTTTTCTCCATGAATTGTCTCATTTTGAAGTCATTTCCCAAATGAATGTATAGTTTGTATGAAATAAAAACAAGCTGAAGTAGTTTCAGTCTCTTTTAATAACTGACAAGAAACTTGAAACCCAGTTCAAGTTTATTTTAGAAGTAACAGGGGCGGATAACTCTAAATCAAAGTGAACGAATCTGGTACTTCCTGTATTTTGCGCTGCGCATTAATCAACGGAAGTCAATTACTCAACTATCGATAGTCGCCCATACTATCGATGCATCGATAGTTTCTCGTTTCTTCCTTCGATTAATTGCATTCGCACACTCAACAATTGCAATTCATCGATAGTTCGATGCATCGTTACAGCCCTAGTATTTAGAGGTCTTGATTGCAATCTTTATTTGTCGCATAGACTTGGTGATAATTTGCGTACTAATTCGGGCCAGAAATCTTAATAAAGTAATAGTATCAATGGAGTGTTAATGGTGTAACAACCATTGGTTACTAGCTGTGGGATTTTCTTTCTCAGATTGCTTTGAAAATGCAAACATCTTTATGTCCCATTTGGTACCATCCAAAAATTATTCCAAAAGACAAAAGCACCATTTCACTAGTGATATATTTAGAACTTTCATTTAGCTATAGTGAACTGTTTTTTAGTTCAGCTAAGGAAAGGAACATGACAGACTAAAGGACGTTCATGTTGACATCTCAATGTAGTATGTGCGGACGGATACATACGTCATCAAATCTTTGGACTGATTGTCACGTACCTTTACTGCACGTGTCTCCAGTCCAGGTTCCCGTACACATGCACGAGCACGTGCTTGTGTCTAGAGAGCCGCCATTCAGGCATAGTTTGTCTCCACAGTCTATAAAATCGGAACTGCTAAACACAGGGCAAATAAAATGTGAACATTTGAAAACTTTACCTAAACGTTAGATTTTCAATTAGCTTGAAACCAGCCGTCGACGTAGCGTTTGGGTCGGTGGGGTATCTCGTCACGCCGAAGGCCCGGGTTCGATTCCAACATGGATACAAAATGCGAAGGCCTTTTCTGGTGTCCGCCGCTGTACGGGAACATTGCTAAAAGCGGCGTAAAACCATACAAGCTCACTCAACGTAACGTTTAAATGCAAATGCCTGTTGGATTATTAAGCTTCTTTCATTAGAAATATTTGTACAAATCCAAGTTAAATTCGAATACTCACCACAAAGGTTATCGGAGCACTTGCCCGCGGGACATTTACTGCAGGAGGCACCTTTCTCGAATGGAGATTTAATGTCAGAGGACATCTGTCTGCAAGGGCAAGAATTGGTTATTTTAGAACAAGTGAGTTATTTTATAGTCCAAGCTAGTATTAAGCGATATCTTAGTACTTCAGCATAGTAAGAGTAAAGCTGTAAATGGTGCAGGTCCTAGACGAGTGGTGCGGTAGCCTAGTGGTTAAAGCGTTTGCTAGTCACGCCAAAGACCCGGGTTCGATTGCTGACATGGGCACAATGTGTGAAGCCCATTTCTGGTGTCTTCGCTTCATTCGACTAGCAGGGCCACAATGTCACTGTTGAATATTTGTTTAATTTTTCAACTCATACTGTTGATACCTTTTTTGACAATGACAACGACAAAAAGCTACATCTCCTACAACTACGACTTCAACTGCTCCTTCGATGATTTCTAGGTCAACTACGACTGAGATGTTTCTGCTTACCACGACTACGACTTCTGTAGCCAACGTCAACCCAACCTTGTAGGGCCGCGTATTACCTGTTCACCATATTCTGTTGGTACTTCTTTCACAATGACATTTCACTCCATCTCCTACAACTACGATTTCTACTGCTCCTTTGAGGACTTCACTTTCCACGATGACTAAGATGTTTCCACTGCCCAAACTACCACCACTACTACTTTGATGGACACCAAGCCTTCTTGTCGCGCCGCGTATTCCCGAACCTGAGACTACTTACCCCATGGCATAGTTGCAAACCTGGTAACGGCCATACTTGGTGGGACAGATGGCTTCTCCACACCCGACCCGGATGGCTCTGTACCCTACAACCTGCACATATAAAAATATGTGCTAGGTGTAAATTTATACCATTTTCAGAATCACTTTACCCTACAACCTGAACATATAAAAATATGTCCTATGTGAAATGTGAAACATTTTCAGAATGAACATAAAAATTTAATCCAATTAATGACCAAATATACAAAAAGTGGACACAATTTATGGGAATGAGTGAGTGAGTTTAGTTTTACACCGCAATCAGCAATATTCCAGCTATATGGCGGCGGTCTGTAAATAATTGAGTCTGGACCAGACAATCCAGTGATCAACAGCATGAACATCGATCTGCGCAATTGGGAACCGATGACATGTGTCAACCAAGTCAGCGAGCCTGACCACCCGTTAGTCGCCTCTTACGATAAGCATAGTCGCCTTTTGTGGCAAGCATGGGCTGCTGAAGACCTATTCTACCCCGGATCTTCACGGGTCCACAATTTATGGACGACAGTGTCTACATTTTACTGTAAAAGCGACGTTTCGGTAGAAATCCTGATGATGTTGTCAAGCAAGACTGACTAATGAATATTGTACAGAATATATATGTAAGGCGACTGGTCAAAAATAACAACTGCACATGAGACAGGTTGTCCGGAATGGGTTATCTAATAACAACATGTTGAAGTATGAAAAGTTGGGGAGATTATCACTGGGTGAAATTGCCTCGATGCTCATGTTCACATTACGACTCTAGTCCGTTTGGCTCCAAAGCGGACCGATCAATTGAAATGTAACTCGAAAACTAATAAACATATAATACTCAATGAAACGCTGATCATAATCAAAACATCAGACCAACTCCGAGAGTTTTTTGCAGAATATATTTCTTAATAATAAAAAAGTTGTTTAACAATCTATCATTAAAATATTGACACAGTTCACTATTTGTTACGAGGGACGAGTGCAGAGAAAGGGACAGCCAGGTTAAGTTAGTCTGTATCAGTGGAATCTGTCCGCGTTACCTGGGTGTAGTGACCAACTATCTTTCCGGGTTCAGTCGGTCCGACGCCGTGTTTGAAGAAGTCCACCTCCGAATGCCACCCGTCCACCCCCTCCATCACTGACCTGTACCCGGCAGCTATGTTCTGACCAATCACCACCCCAGGCATACCTGGGAATCACAACTGCTGAGTAAGCGTGTTTACAAAGCGTTTTCCACTACAGCGGCCTGTTAAGTTACCCAGCTTTTCATATTCTCGGTAAAAATTGTTACAAAATTGAGTCATTTTTAAAAGAAATACATCTTGCAACAAAATATTCTTGTGGCAGACAAGTGACAAGTTATTTTTAATACAGTCTGAAGCATATTTTCTCGTGAATACCCAATGCCAAGCCGCGATGGCTGAGTGGGTTAGATGGCTGATTTTGTGTACTGGAGATTAGGTGCCGGACTCTGAGAGTGTTTTTTCGAATCCCGGATAGGGCTCAATTTAACAAAAGTATTAGTTTGTGATCCCAGATATAACATATACTGGACCAAATAATTTTAATGATTGATATTTTATCAGTGTGTCAGTGAATAATAAGATCATTATTCATAATTTCAAAATTTACATATATCCCTAACTATTTTTGTCCAGTATATGTTATTTGTTAGTAAAAACGCAGGTCGCCAAGTGCAAGGTTCCTCAAAATGGTTTGAGAAAGGACACATAGACAAGCAAAGACTTTTGGCAATGGACATACTTGGGACTGATCTTGCAGAGTAGTGGTCATGGCCTGCATAACACTGACGGGCCCACTTCCCAGCATACACCGCCAGCTCGTCGTCCCAGACCTGCAGCATCACCAACATTGTCATCTATATTTTGTATACATACAAATGGGAAATAAAAGACTTAAATTAAAACATTTAAAAAAAATTACCAACCAGTTTGACCAGATTGGTGGCAGTTGGTGAGACGTGACTTCTGTAGGTGTTATGCCTGTCCACTATGGCTTGTTTGTCCGCAGCGGACAGTGGGGCTTCCGTCCCTATGTCCACCAGACACAGGGTGTAGTGGGCGTGTCTGGCGAGGTAGGCAGGGTCACATCCCTAGGAGAGACATTGATAAATGGGATGGGGTGAAAGGAGGTTGAACTTTTCTCTAAATAGAACCAGTTTATTCATATCTATGTTATTTGTAAATATACTCATGGAAACAAATAAGGGAACACATGAAAGCAAAAGTAATCCTATATTCTTTTCCAGGTTTCTTCGGCTGCTTTGTATTGCACTGTGGGTGAAAAGTATAAAGGAACACATGTCCTTTTCATGTGTTCCTTTATTTGTTTCCATGAGTATATAGTACGCTTATTAATATATTCGATTCTCGTCACATATGTGGCTGGATTGTGTAAGATCGATTTTCATGACGTATATAATTGGATTGTCTGAGATCCATCCTCATGACGTATATCACTAGAATATATGAGATCGATTGTCATGACGCATATCACTGGATTGTCTAAGATTGATATGAGATCGATTGTCATGACGTATATAATTGGATTATATGAGAAAGATTCTCATGACGTATCTCATTGGATTTTCTGGTGCCATTTATTTACAGACCGCAATCATATAGTGTGGCGGCAAACAGACAAATGAGTGTTGCCCTTCGACATAGAGGTACAAACATCAACAGGCACACGCTGGCACACGCACACGCACATACATGCATGCATCTTGCTACATTAGCACGATGACATTATACGTGAGTTAATCCTCATGTCGATATGGCTGAAATATTGCCGATGTGACGTTAAATAATAACTCACTCACTAATCCTCATGTCATCTTCCCTTTTGACACGTACCGACTGAACGATGAAGGTATGCCTCGCGAGAGACCCTGCAGCGAAAAAAACACAAAACGCACAATTTTAGGTGTATTGCTTTTCCACAAATACATTTTTACAATTAGAAGCGACACCATTAATGTTAACCGTTTAAGAAACTACACCAAAGTCACTTCTAACTGCAGTAGAGATTTTTTTCATCCACATATCGTATTCTTTTTTAATACTCCTAAATGACTCTTAAATGCAAGCCTCTATCCTCCGAAGAGAGTACTTAAGACCACGTCATTTTCAATGTATGTTGCCATAGTTATATGGCAATGATCATTGCCAGAGTTATAATCGTAGAATGTTTGTATTTTTAAGTTATGGCTAAATTGCTCAAAATTTGCCAACAGCTGAAGGGATGTTGTAAATCCAGCTCGGTTCCATGCAGGTAGCAAAAGTACTGTAAGTCCCCATTATGCTGATCTGACCCGTGAAGATCCGGGTTAGAATATTGATCTTCAGCAACCCTTGCTTGTCGTAAAAGGCGACTAACGGGATCGGGTGGTCAGGCTCGCTGACGTGGTTGACACGTCATCGGTTCCCAATTGCGTAGATCGATGCTCATGCTGTTGATCACTGGATTTTCTGGTCCAGACTCGATTATTTAGAGACCACCGCCTTATATCTGGAATAGTCCTGTGTGCGGCGTAAAACTAACCTCACTCACTATTATGGTGATCTACCTTCAGTTGCTGGCGATCTAAGTTTTAATTAATTTGTGATATTCTGATTGTAATACTGTCCTTCGCTGACAGATTTTTAAAAGTATACAATACATGTATTTATTCTAAGTGCATGTATATGACGTTTTGTCGTCACGATATGGCTGAAATATTCTTGATGTGACGTAAAATTTTAACTCACTCACTCACTTAAATGCCTCTCAGAGACGTCAAATCAATACAGTTAACGCTCATGTACTTTAACCCTATTTATTCAAAATATTTATGCTATTTTTCATGAATGGAGAACTGAAACTGTGCAATAGAAATTTCCTTTTTGACAATAAAGACTTATCTTATAATCTATGACTGAAACACTACCACGCAAGCTGTTCCAGTCAATGTCACATAGAACCGTCACAGATGCCAACCAAGAACAGCTCCTCGCCATGATTATATATAGACAAAATATCGGTTTCACAGACAGTACTAATTAAAAGACTGACCTTGACTTGGAAATAGAGTAGCGCCTAGATTCTATTTGAGTAAATTGCAAACGGCCTCATATTATTTCTCAAAAAAGTTCCATGTAGAAATATTAAATCTTACACAAGGAAAAATGTCTTGCCGTCTGATTCTTCCAATACATCGATGGAAAATCAATATTTGTCCATCTTTAAATTTCACTTTTAAGGGATTTCTACGGTTTTAATCGTATTTTGTTTTATGCAAATGTCATGTTTTTCTTTAACACTACCATATGTAAACGCTAACTTAACGCAGTCTGTATAATGCTTACAGACCAAACGGTCTTAACGGTTCTTTACTCGAATTACTTCGTGTTTTGTTCAATGCTGCGTAACTTTGAACAGAGCAAGTTTATCCTTACGACTTTTAACTATTGCTGCTGCTACAACTACTGCTACTACTACTACTATTACTACTATTACTACTTCTACTACTGCTACTACTACTACCCCTGAAGATCAGGTTTAGAACTGCTGCTGCTACTACTACTACTACTACTACTACTACTACCCGTGAAGATCAGGTTTAGAATTGGTGGATGTCATCAAAGTGGTACACTTGCATCTTTATCTTCTATGACACGTTAATTCATTCTTGTATGTTAGTGCCTTCGTAGGGGTAAACTCTCCTCATCGCAATAATAATATTTTATTTGAGATTCGAGACAACCGTCTTACATCAGACAAGTTTCCATGCAGTGCTAGCACTAGTATACCATTCTCTCACTCACCCTCCATGTTGAGAACAGCTACCACCAGCATCAGAAACACAGCGTTCCTCATGACTCTCATCCTCGTGTTCCGGACACACCACGCCAACAGTGGCTGTGGCTTAACTCCTTTAATACAGTATGATACACGTGGTATCAGTATGTTGATTCATAACACAGTGATCACCAGGTGTCGAAACCTATATGAGATATGTATTTGTCAATATGATCAAGTACGATTGGTTAAACGTATTCAGTCCGACTTCGATCGTTTTCAGTATATATCGATATATGCAATACAGAAGTATCAATGTGGAGGTTGGATTACAGTGTGCGTTGGTGTTAATATTAATAATATTTGAAGAAATATTTATAAAGTTTGATTCCAATTATCATTTATAAAATAATAGACTCACTGGGTGAGCTAAATGCTGTTTCTTTGTAACGATAAATATTATTTCTTGAAACAGAAAATATATTATCGATTGCTTCCGCCATTTCGGAAGAAAGCAGACGCGCTTCAAACTGTTTCAAATTCCGAATGAGCGATCGGTCGGCTTACTCTGAGAGATTCATGTCTTGCAGCACCATTAATATTAGCAAAAGAATTTGGTAACTCACCACCCGCTAATACATCCAGAGTGATGAGTATCGGTGGGGTAGCCTAACGGTTAAAGCGTTGGCTCTTCACACCGAAGACCGTGTTCGAATCCCCACATTGGTAGAGCGTGACGACCGGAGTCCCCCCGCCGTGAAGTTGCGGGAATATCGATCCCCGACCGCGTAAAACCAAACTCAGTCGTTAGTCCAGATGATGATACTTGTTGGTCCCATCGCCTGGCCGCCTCCGTGCATTAATGGTTACAACGTCCGCCTGAGAGCGGAAGATCGGAGTCAATCCCCATATTGTACAATGTGAAGCCCATTTCTGGTGTCCCCGCCGTGTCATGTTTCAATATTGCTGCGGCGTAAAACCAAATCTCAGTCAGTCAGTCCAGAGTGATGAGTATCTGGCTCATCTCCATCGTTGGACCGCCTCCGTGGGCTAATGGTTAGAGCGTCCGCCCGGAGAGCGGAAGGTCGCGGGTTCGATCCCCGACCGCGTCATACCAAAAGACGTTAAAATATGGTACTTGTTGGTCCCTGCCTGGCGCTCGGCATTAATGGGTACAACAAGGACTGGTCGGCTCGGAGTCAGTATAATGTGTCTGAGTGGGGTATTCATGCTCCACTGCAGCATGGTATCTCAGTGGGCTAGCACTATAAAACCAGCTTCAGTCTGGGCTAGTACAAGCAGCCGAACATACACATACACACGCATGCATGTCGTCATATGAGCGAAATATTCTCCAGCGCGACGTTAAACCCAATTTCACCTCACCTCACCTCACCTCACCTCACCTCACCTCCATCGTTGGCTATGAGGTATCCCGTGATCGTATTGTCCCTGTTACGGAACAGTGGTTGATGGCAGCTATTCTTTTACGTGGCATGTTGTTGCCCAATGATACGCGTATGGCGATTATGTGACAAAGGAAGTTGAAGTCAGTGGATGGACGACATTAAGGGAAGAAGAAAGTATTATCAGCGAAGAGTGTAATAAAAATGCCGGAAATTGAAACCTCAACTCCAACCTGTCAGTTGGCTAACAGATACGTGAAAGCGTATGCCCACTGCTCAGATCATGTTCATCACTGGATCGTCTGGTGTAGTGCACATAAGAATTTTAATTCAGATTTATTTTCAAGAATTACAGCAATTTATAAACTTGTACTTAGAACAGTGTGTTCAACCAATAACTCGAAAGGTTTTCAGTTTTGGTAAACAGCTTCTAAATCTTAGTCTAAGAGCTGTAGTTCGGTTCGATTTTAAGTTTTTGTTGTGGATCTTCAGCAACCCATGCTTGTGGTAAGAGGCGACTAACGGGATCGGGTGGTCAGGCTCGCTGACTTGGTTGACACATCATCGTATCTTAATTGCGTAGATCGATACCCATACTGTTGATCACTGGATTGTCTTGTTTAGATTCGATTATTTACAAATATAGGTGGAATATTGCCGAATGTGGCGTTAAACAACAAACTTTCAAATCTGAGGACCACCTTCTTTGCTTTAAGCAGAGGTGCAGTGCAAATTTTGATTATGGTATCTTTCATTTAATTATTTTTTCAAGAAGTGCAGGAATTTAAAAATCTCAACCAAGAATCATTGGTTCAACCAGTAACTTGAAAAGTATTGGTCACAGTGTTTTCAAATTTGGAAAAAGTTTCCTTGTCTAAATAATGTCTATTGTTGTGTTAGTACTGTAGTGGGAAACATGTTTTTCTTTGAAACACAGTGTTCGCATCGAAACAGTATTAGTTAAATACACTCTATCCTGATGCAGTCTTTGCATACCCAAGAATCTGTGTCAAGGGTATCACACCACGCCTGAAATCACCCAACTGTAAAATGGTGATAGATAAAGAGGACCTGTAGCTTTAAACTTGTCTACGCCAGTTAGGTTCAAGGATTCAGAATATGTCCCTCTGGATTCATATTATTGGAAATTATGTCTTTATGGTTATGTAAGTTAATAGCATTAGGAAGACCGTTACAACTACTTTGAAAATGTGTCCCGCGATTGCTTCTAGATACAAACGTAATTCCCCATCTTCAGTGAAAACACTTCAGTGATCGATTAGCCGTTTGTTAAAGTAGACAGGAAAACTGTTTCAGCAATATCACCACAATCAATATATTTTCAATGCATATGCAAATTTTCAGTAGTGATATAAAACACCTTCATAGTTAATTTTTAATGTTTATTAACCATAGGTACAAGACGTATGTGTTGTGTGGAGTTATATCCCTTTACTTCCCTTTATTCCATTGCGAGTCACAATTTTAACAAAATAAACATTGTATTCCAAGAGATGTATTTACAACATAAGCACTCACAAATCAGAATCACATGGCACTGCATTATACACAATACATTTCAGAAAAGTTGTAACTAATCAATGAACTTTGAACTGAATGTACAGGTTTGGGTAAGCATTCTAGCCATATCAGGGCAGCAGATTATGAATGTGTAACTGAACTGATCGTGTCAACCAGTTTCTCCCGAGAGGACACTTTAGTGTGTACTCCGAGTGAGACAAGTTTGTCTCTCAAGTCAGACACACTCAGGTCATCTAAAAGTGATTTGGTACTGGGGACCATATTGCTGATGTCACATTGTATACTGGCCCTTTTTGCGCTTCTGGCCTCGTGTATCCAAGATTCCCAGTACTTAAGCTTATGTTTAGTGTAGGGTCGTTTTGATCGTGCCAAGTGTGATTGACTTTCCACACGCTTTCTTACAGTCATAGTCTCAAGGGACCATCTCACCTTTGTGTTTTCTGCAGATAAATCCGTTTAATGTCATCATTCATTTTGTCTGGAGCCTGTCCACTACACCTACCAATGTTCCCGTGCCTCGACATAAACACAGGAACATGGTACACTAAACAGTGCATGTAGGGCGTGATGTTCTTAGACAAGCATCCCTTCCTTTTCTCTCCTATTCTAAGAATCAGCTGTATCCACTCCCTCGCCATGTGGTATAACTTGTCGTGCGCTGTTTGCTCTCCCCGCTAACTACCAACTTGTAGATGTCCCAAAGCCCTGTCCAAACGTTAATAAGTCCATCTCCGCGTCTGGTGTCAGTCGACTGTGAAGTTTGTCAGACAGTTGATTCAAAATACTCTTCTTGCTGTCCCCTGAAAGACTTGTCCATTTTAGTCCTTTCCCGTCCCTATCTTCCCACACATTACAACGACACCCCACAGCTTCTGATGCTTTCCAACTATCCCATCCAAATATCTAGGTTACAAGCCCTTGCCTTACCTTTACGACGTTAAAGCCAACTTGGTTAACTCTTTATCCCTTGCTTCCCCATCCTGAATAATCATTCTTTCCAGAACGTCCGTGATTCTCATCAATAGATGTAGCTCGTCCAGGACAAGATTGTCGATACCTATTTCCACCAGTGCAGTATGTTGAACACCAAACTGGAGCTTATCTGCGTGAGATCTTATCTCCTCAATTGTCCTGCACATAGGCTAGGTAGAATAGTACAACCAGTCATGCGTCATGTTGTGTCGGTCGTCCTTGTGCACTTTACACAGTGGACAAGCATAGATGTCACGTCGAACCCCTAAGCCTAGAACTAACTGAATCATTTTCATATCATCCCCAAGGAAATCTCGATCTCTATACGTTTGTCCCCAATTTGGATAAACTTGGCCTCAGCGATGGAATTGACTTCTTCAAATAATGGAACCAGAGACATTTTGAGGTTGTAATAGTTCTCTTTTTACAGCTGACAATTGCTAAAGTGTACTGGTTATTTGATGCTTGTTTGATTGTGTCATCTACGATGTTAAATGAGAAAACTACAAAATTTGAGAGGCTGCTAACCCTAGTCCCGTCCCCTTAACTTAATCTTAACGTTTTCTACATATGGCCGAGACTCTAAATACTCCCCAACGCTAGATTCAAGCTTCATGTGTTGTTATCTATAATGAAGGGCATTAAAATATTCAGAAGATAGAATCGCAAGTCCTATGGCATGACGAGTAGCATGCCCTTGTTTGCAGGGTTGGTAGCATATGAAAGTGCATGAAGCGCCAAGTGGACTATGGCACAAATAATTGGACATGGTGAGCTTTATGGAAGGAGAAAAAGTAACGAACACAGTCAAAACGTGTACATTTATATGTATATTAACACACAAAAATAGTTTAAGAACATTTTATACTCTAAGCACTAAAACTTTTATGTTTCAGGTGGAAGGAAAAGGTCAGAGCATCACGTGATCTACACGGTAGAAACCGTATTTCTTCCGACCTCCAAGCCCACTCCGACTCCACCCAAAGGACTTCCATGGGGAATCTGTTTAATGCCTGCAAGAAACACAAGTGGCACCATGACCCAAGAGAACCATACACATATCCAAAAACACAAACAGCATGCACACTTTCAGTAATCATTTGCTTCACTTCTACTCCCCAACTACGAAAGCCCAGACGACCAGACGAGTCAAAATGATTTTTTGAA